GCCACTCGGCGACGCTTGTGCCCACTCTGAATAGGACCTGCTCGCGTCGACTCATCCCGCTTGGCTGCTGCCCCCATGCGCGATCGAGGACTGGATGGGAAGGCCGCTCGCCGAACGTGGGGCGAACCACGTCGGCAAAGCCCAAAACGCCTCGGCAGGCTGACTCGGGCGGTCGAGGAATGGAAAGCTGTGCGGGCCTCGAGCCTGCCCCCTCGGCTGCGTACAAGCTCCAGCGTCGGGAGCCACGTTGGAACTTGAGTCAAAATGGCTACGGACGCCGACTAAACGTGAAAAGAAAGGAACACATGTACCTTCAAGGGGGTACGATCGAAGACGAAAAGGGCATGTATCGAAGGCTTGGGGTAGACATGTTAAACGAAACACGAACATATGATATCGAAAAATATTAACATGAATTGTGTTGTAGTCGTCGCCCCCCTGACTCGCCCCGCGACCCACCCGCGACCCACCCGCGACCAACCCGCGATCCACCCGCAACCCACCCGCGACCCACCCGCCCGCACCCTCACTCTTGTCCGCAATTGCGGGGTGCTACGCACCGTGCCCCTTGCAAACTTGAACGGTGCTAGTGTGATCAAATAGGCAGAACTGGGGGCTCATGTCACGGGGGAGCTTGCAATTGTCATCCACCCCGTCGCTCCCACAATTTGCTCTTGTCCGCCCCGCCTCACTTTTTGACTGCGCTGCGGGAACGTTCGGTTCCCATTCCCGTTCACAGCGGGTACAAGACTCTGTCGTGACTAGTCACATGTAGCTAGGAAGATGCCAGGGAGCCACATACAAAAATATTACGTGACACCTGATTCTAGCACGTCCGGAAAACGATGCGAAACAAAGTCTCACATCGCACGTGCGTCTGTAACGCTCAGGCGACTTTATTGCTACGTATCCGATTCCCTTGCTACGTCCTTCACTTGTGAACCACATTCGGTCGCCTCTCTGGAACTGAGACAGGCAGCTATGTCTGCGGACTTGCATACGCGAAATCGAACTACCAAAACATCTGCATCCCGTGATCGCACTTACACGCTGCTACGCAAGCGGTGTGGGGTCACTGTGCAGCTCGGGTCCACGTACATGGGATGGGATCGGGGGGGGTCGAAGCAGCTGCTTCCCACAAAACAAGAAAGGCAATCCCCAGCAGTCGCCTCCTCTGCCCTCCTAGGTCACCCTCGCCCTTCTCTTCCTCCTCATGTTACCCATCCGTCTGCTCCTCATCCAACTCCTCCTCCTCACCATCACCCAACCATTCTCCTGATCGCCACAACCTGTCGGCGGCCGGAAGGCCTAGCAGGGTGCGGTACCACTTGCAGCTGTCCAAGGCCTGAGCTGTCGGAACCAGTAGAGGAGATTGGAACCCCACTCGGAGGAAGCAAGAGAAGGAGCTCGGATCAAGTTGGCAATCCCGAGCGCGGCAGCGGGGCCCGCTCGTAACCAGCTGTGCCCTCCCAAGAACTAGTACCAGCGCAGCAGCAGATCGGCATAGGCGCAAGCCCCCGCCCAGCGAGTAGAAGGTGCCTGTGCTGGGGGCACGGTCCTTGTACACCACCCGCACAAACAAGCTGGTCCAGCCACGAAACCGTGGAGCGGGGGCTGTGTGTTACATGATGTTTAATACACGGAGGCGTACTTCTTCCGTTTTCAAGGCAGACATGTATTGCTCGTTTGGGGGGTCAATATTTGATTCCGTTTGGGGATTCTCGTTCGCGAAATTTTCGGGCTGGTTCCATGTCGTACTGTCGTTGTTCCGTTTCGCTTTGCTTTGCTTTGGGCTGCGGGTGTTGCCCTGTTTTGCTGAGCCAGAGTAAGAAAAATTGAAAACGGGGCGGGGAAGCGCCCCCAGCGTTCTTATCACCGAAGGGGCCGGGTACAAACATGGCACCCTCTGGGGGCACGAGTTTTGCACCACCCCCAACAAGAAGCTGGCCCAGCACAAGGCACGCGCGCGGGGGTCGGTGGCCAAGAGTCGGCCCCCGATGGGCGCGAGCGGGGCCCCGCTCTCGCGAGGCCCTGGCGAGGGAGCAGCAGGCACTGCTCCCGCGCGGGGCCGCAACCCGGGGGGTGGGCGAACCTGGGACCTCGCGTGCGAAAATTATCCTGGCGAAGGACCCAACCATGTGCAGTTGTGAATATCGCATTGCGGGTGCCGCTTTCGGTGGAGCTCCCTGTGGGGCCACGAAACGCTGTGCTGGGTGGGGGTGACGCATGCGGGCGGCACCACTGGGGCCTTCGGTGGAGGTCCCTGTGGGGCCACGAAACGCTGTACTGGGCGGGGGTGACGCATGCGGGCGGCACCACTGGGGCCGTCGGTGGAGCTCCCTGTGGGGCCACGAAACGCTGTGCTGGGTGGGGGTGGCGCATGCGGGCGGCACCACTGGGGCCTTCGGTGGAGCTCCCTGTGGGGCCACGAAATGCTGTGCTGGGGTGGGGGTGACGCATGCGGGCGGCACCACTGGGGCCTTCGGTGGAGGTCCCTGTGGGGCCACGAAACGCTGTGTTTGGTGGAGGTGCCGAAATGGGTGTGCGGGACGCATGCGAGCGGTGGCACTGGGGCCTTCGGTGGAGCTCCCTATGGGGCCACGAAACGTGTGAGGGGTGTGCCGAAATGGGTGTGGCTGACGCATGCGGGCTGGGGCCACGAAACGTGTGAGGGGTGTGCCGAATTGGGTGTGGCTGACGCATGCGGGCGGCGGCACTGGGGCCTTCGGTGGAGCTCCCTATGGGGCCACGAAACGTGTGAGGGGTGTGCCGAATGGGTGTGGCTGACGCATGCGGGCGGCGGCACTGGGGCCTTCGGTGGAGCTCCCTATGGGGCCACGAAACGTGTGAGGGGTGTGCCGAATTGGTGTGGCTGACGCATGCGGGCGGCGGCACTGGGGCCTTCCCTATGGGGCCCCCTTGGGGCCAGCGACGAACGTGTGAGGGTGTGCCGAATTGGGTGTGGCTGACGCATGCGGGCGGCAGCACTGGGGCCTTCGGTGGAGCTCCCTATGGGGCCACGGTGTGAGGGGTGTGCCGAATTGGGTGTGGCTGACGCATGCGGCAGCACTGGGGCCTTCGGTGGAGCTCCCTATGGGGCCACGAAACGTGTGAGGGGTGTGCCGAATTGGGTGTGGCTGACGCATGCGGGCGGCAGCACTGGGGCCTTCGGTGGAGCTCCCTATGGGGCCACGAAACGTGTGAGGGGTGTGCCGAATTGGGTGTGGCTGACGCATGCGGGCGGCAGCACTGGGGCCTTCGGTGGAGCTCCCTATGGGGCCACGAAACGTGTGAGGGGTGTGCCGAATTGGGTGTGGCTGACGCATGCGGGCGGCAGCACTGGGGCCTTCGGTGGAGCTCCCTATGGGGCCACGAAACGTGTGAGAGGTGTGACGATGATGGTGATGATGACGATGATGGTGGGTGATGACGATGATGATGATGATGATGATGATGATGATGATGATGATGATGATGATGATGATGATGACGATGATGATGATGACGATGATGATGATGATGCTGATGGGAGGAGGGAGGGGGGGAAGAGGAGGAGAGGAGAGGAGGAGAGGAACGCGGGGCACCGTCTCTTCAAAACGAGGACCCAACACCACAGGATGGTTGGGAAAAACACGTCTCCGTAACCGCGGCCTCGCGAACCGGACCCCTGGGCCGCGACCCCGCGGATACGGGGTGCTCTCTTCGCGGATGCCCCGCGCGGAACGCAGCCGTACGACGGGCGCATCTTGCCATCGCTCGGGCGTCCACTCCCCGCGCATTTTGTTTCGGCTGCGCGCGTGCTTGTTCTCCAAGATGATCCTAGGTTTAGGTCGGGCCTGTCCCCCTTCAGGGGGATTTTGGGCGAAAAATTAAACATACTCCAAACATAGCCCCAAATGTTCAAACAATACTTAAAAACATCGTCCCCATATCATTGTTTGACTATTACTCCTGTAGAGGAACAGGCCCGGGCGGCCCGACTTAATCCTAGGTGCTCCTCGCCGAGAAAAAACATGCACACGGCCGAGCTGTGCCAAGGCATCCGCGGGCTCGGCCCGCGAGGGCCCGGGGGGGTCCGTGGCGAGCGCGGGCCGCGCCCGCTCGCGCGCGCCACCGCGATAGCCGCCGAGAGCGCGTCGGCGGTCGGGCCGCCCGCGCCCTTCAAGAAGCGGCACTGTAAAGGGGCCCAAGGACACACAAATAAGTACACACACACACACACAAATAACAGGTTTCCCCATATTTCCTCATACTTTCTGGGGTTTCGTGTTCCCCCCCACTTCCCATATTTTCCCAGATTTTCCCTGGGGATCGACGATTGAATGTGTCTGTGTGTGTTTTTTCCCCTCCTGACTATGGTCGGGAACTTTTGCTTAGCGTGTCTCGGCGGCGGCACCGGCGACACGCTACGCCTGGAGAGCGGATAGCGTCTCGCTCCGCTCCGCGGGGGCGGGAGGCGGGGAGAGGCTCTCGGGACGATGGCGCTCGGGGACTCGCGGATAGCGTGTTGCTCCGAGGCTTGGGGGGGCAGAACCGACGGAGCGACACTGCAAGTCCAAAGATCCCGACAGTGGTTGACTGTCACTCTGGTCCAGAGCATCGTTTTCCACGCTGTGCATCACAGGAATGCGAGCACACTGCCGCATGATTTGCTGCAGGCGTGCGTGCACGGATGTCTGTTGCCCATTCGTAGCCGCCGAGGCTCGAACGATGGGAAACCAAAGGGTACCGATACCGCTTGTCCCTGGACCTCTCCCAAGGTGCGCTCTGACCAGGCTTTCGAGACGAATCCAGCAGTGGCGACGAGGGCCTCCCAGGAGGCCCCAAAGGGGAAAACGGGGCAAGGGTAGCGGTGTCGGTACCTTTCCCTCCTCTGAGAACCTACAAGTATTCCCCCCGAAGTGTTCTGGAGCCAGGCAGGGGAAGAGACCGTGCAAGCACAGCCTGAGAGCTCTCTGGCTTCTTCGCCCTCCCCCCCCCGGGCTACGAGGACGGCCCGCCGCGCTGGGCCGCGGGCGTCCCGGGCCGCCTCCCATGACACGGCGGGCGGCGAGGCGCGGTCCTGCCCGCGCACGCCCTGGCCTCCTGGCAGGAGGCCCTCGTCCACCACGGAGGAGGAGGCGAAGGAGGAGGAGGAGGAGGAGGAGGAGGAGGAGGAGGAGGAGAAGGAGGAGAAGGAGGAGAAGGACGACACCAACGACGAGGAGGAGGAGAAAGAGGACGACGACGAAGACGAAAGCGACGTCGACGGCGACGACGAGGCAAACAGCCTCCCCTGCCTCCTCTCCTCCCTCCTCCATCCCTCGCTCATTCCGCCCTCCTGCCTCCCTCCTTCTCTTCCCTCCTGCCTCATTTCCCGCCGGAGCGCTCCTGCCCCGCGCCCGCGCCGCCGCGCGCAGGGCAGGAAGGGCGGCGCGCCCTATCGCGCCGCAGCGCGCAGGGCAGGAAGGGCGGGTCCAGGAGGGAGCCAGTCGGGTTTTTTCGCCCGCTGGTCCTCGATCCTCCTCCCTCTTCCCTCCTGCCACCTCCTCCTTCTCCACCTCTTCCTCATCCTCCCTCCCACCTTCTCCCTCCTCCTTCTCCTGATCCTGATACTCCTGCTCCTCCCCCTCCTCCTCCTCCTCCTCCTCCTCTCCTCCTCCTGCTCCTGCTCCTCCTCCTCCTCCTCCTCCCCTCCTCCTCCTCCTCCTCCTCCTCCTCCTCCTCCTCCTCCTCCTCCTCCCCTTCCTCGTCGGCGTTTCGGAGCGAGAGGTTGAGAGAACGACTCGCCCGACGTGCGTAAGAGCACACCAAGCCGCATACCAGGCGCGGGAACTCCCCCGAGGACAGGGAGGGGGAGGGGGGAGTCTAGCGCTTCTCTCGCGTCTACGGCAGCTTCTGCTGATTACGAGAATCCTTTACTACAATCCGTGGACCGACAACGATAAGATCAAAAAGGAGCGCGAGATCTCGTCTAGCCTCGAGGACGTGGAGGCGCTGGTCGTCCCGACTGAGCAGGATGTCGAGAAGACGGTCAAGCAGCTACAAAACACGATTGAGGAGCACACGTCGCAGCTCCTCCAGAAGAAGGCCTCGAGCTCCTTGCAGTGAGTTGCCCTCGCCTCCAGAGCGCCCGCCGAGCCCCAAGACGAGGTCTGAATTCTTCTACCCGAGGACGAAGGCTGGACTGGCAAAAGGAGCTCCGACAAAGTCAACCACCCACCCCGACCCCAGCTACGGATGGAGGGGGAGCCTACTACCTACCGACAGACGACGACAGCGCAAAATAACCAGGGGAAAAAGGCTGCTTGCAGTTATGGGGACTACTATTGCCAACATGTGACGACGTGCAGAGGGCCCATGTTGTAACACGACATCCAGGGGGAGAAGTGAACGGATAGCAGGAGTTGTCCTTGCTGTTACATACATATATAGAGAGAGGGAGAGCAGGCTCCCTAGACTGCTCATGCTGCGGGTCTCGGGGTCTCGCGTTGTTGGCCCGTCGCCGTCTTCGCTGCACGTGGGCCTAGGTCTGCTGCCTTTGCGGGCCGCTCGTGGGCTGCCTCTCTCCCCTGTGGTCGTCGTCCTGCTTGGGTTGGGCGTCTGGTCCCTGGGTTCTGCTTGCCGTGTGTCTGTCTGTGTGTGTGCGTGTAGATATGTGTGTGTGTGTGTGCGTGTGCGTGTGTGCGTGTGCGTGTGTGTATGTGTGTGTGTGTGTGTGTGTGTGTGCGTGTAGATGTGTGTGTGTGTGTGTGTGTGTGCGTGTAGATGTGTGTGTGTGTGTGGTGTGTGTGTGTGTGCCCTCTCTCTCCCTCCCTCTCTCGCTCTCTCTCTCTCTCTCTCTTTCTCTCTCTCTCTCTACCGCAGAGGGCTGCCTGGAGGAGCAGGAAGCCAGGATAGCAGAACCCAACCCTGCAGGTCCAGGCGCCGCCCTCCCTTGCGTCTCTTGCCTCCTCCTCCTCTTGTTTCCCTTCACTAGGGAGGTAGTGCAGGTGCCTCCCCCCCCCCCCCTCTAGAGGGGGATGCTCGCCACAGCGGGGCCAGCATCCCACCTCCTTCCAGTCGAGGAGGCCTCAGATCTTTGAAGCCCTCCTGCGGCGGGGTGCGCCTGCCCCACTGATGGGCCAGGCGGCGCCCCAGGCCTTCCGGGGGGGGGGGGGGGGCTGCCCCCCGCCCCGCTTCCTCTCGCCGGGGCTTCTCGCTGGGGCAGCTGCCAGGTATTTCTGAGCTGATTAGCTGACGCCCCCGACGCGCCGTTGCGTTTGCCTCCTCTTCCTCGTTCTCCTGCTACTCTTGCGGCGCCTCCTCCTCCTCTTCCTCCTCCTCTTCCTCCTCCTCTTCCTCCTCCGCCTTCTCCACCTCCACCTCCGACTTCTCCTCCTCCCTAACCTCCCTTAGGTTCCTCCCTACTTCCTCCTCTCCTGCCTCCCTCCCCTCCACTCATCCATCCCCTCCCCTCTTTCCTCCTCTGTCCTCCAACTCCTCCCCCTCCACCACCACCTCTTACTCCTCCTCCTCCTCCTCATCCTGCTCCTCCTGTCCAGGCCCTCCTCCCCATTCTGGCTCAGCTTTCCTCTCCTACCTCATCCCCCTCGTCCTCGTCTCTCCTCACCCTCCTCTCTTTACTCCTCCCCTTCCGCGCCTCCCTCTCCCCCCCCCTCCTCGTCCTTCCTCCTCCCACTTCTCACCCACCGCCCCTTCTCCCTCCATCCTCGTGCGCGGAGGGAGGGGGGAGAAGGATGAGGAGCAGCAGGAGGAAGAGGAGAAGGAGGAGGGGGAGGAGGCGGAGGAGGAGGACCCTCCCTCCGTTCTCCCTCCCCGCCTTCCCTCCATTAAAGCACGCTCGCGTAGCTCTGGGAGCCTCGCTGGTCTACAACAAGGGGATGTGGGCCTTCGCCCGACGCATCCTGCACACATGTTGTAGAACGTCTTACGCTCACGTGCCCTGTCACGAACACGTGCACCATGCTGTGCGCGATGGCGGTTGCGAGCATAGCTTCATGGTAATGTTTCAGTCCTTGAAGCTCGGCTGCTTCCGGGAGCCTGAAGGCCAGCGCCAGTGGGGAAACCCAAGAGATACCGACACCGCTACCCCACGTACCTCGCTTTGGGCGCGCCCTGGCGATAGCCTCGAGGAGAATCCAGCCGTGGCCACGAGCTGGGACACACAAGTAAAGACACACATAACAGGACTCCCCATATTTTCCCATATCTTCTGGGCTTCTGTCTTCCCCCACCACTTCCAATATTTTCCTGGGAGTCGACGATGAATTCTGTCTGTGTGTTTTTTCCCTCCTGAAAGAACTGAGACTGTCGGAGATTGGCGCGGATTTCTGGATCGGCGCTGGACGCCCTCGGATGTCTGGGTTGACGCAGGACGCCGCTGCCTGGCGCGTGGAGAGCACTTGGGGCGGCGCCTGAGGCGCCGCCAGGGGGGACCCAGCGCCCAGCGAGCAATTTTGGCTGTCCTCCCTCCGTCCTCCTAAGGGTCCCCCTCGGCTTCAAATGTCGGCAGCACCTTCCACCAGTCCTGGCTCGGATATTTCTGCCAACGCTTCCCTGCACGGCGAAAGACGCGCGCCTAGCCAAAGGGGCGGCATCGGCTTACAGGGGGTTAGTTGCACCTGTCGTGTCTGCTCTCCTTCCGAACCTCGTTTCTGCTTCTTTTCGTCTCAGGACAGGCACCTTGCCCAGTGGAGGTCCCATGGTCCATGGTGCTGCTGTGGAGAGGCCAGTCCTCCTATTCAGGTGCGCGTAGCCTCTCATATCGCCTAGGAGCGCAACTGCTCCAGTACGACGTACACTCGCCCGGCCTGAGTCGAACCAGAACCCTCCTCCTCCTCTTCTTCCTCCTCCTCCTCCTCCTCCTCATCATCATCATCATCACCATCACCATCACCATCACCATCACCATCACCATCACCATCACCATCACCATCACCATCACCATCACCATCACCATCACCATCATCATCATCATCATCATCATCATCATCATCATCATCATCATCATCATCATCATCATCATCATCATCATCATCATCATCATCATCATCATCATCATCCCATCCCATCCCATCCCATCCCATCCCATCCCATCCCATCCCATCCCATCCCATCCTTCTCCTCGGAGGCACCGTGCCCTCCACCTCGTCTCGCCCAGGTGGCCCAAGTCCGCGCTGCGCGCCGCGCGCGGCACGGTCATCCTCGCGCCCTCGAGCCGACCCCCCCTGGAGAAGGAGCAGTTCTTCGCCGCAGACCACGGAGCACGAAGCGCACTCACCCGTGGGTGCCCTGCGCGCTGCTGGAGTGCGCGGAGGCGGTAGCGCGTGGCGCGGCAGCTAATCACGTGGCGCGCATCGAACATAATAAAAAAGACCACCTCGTGCGACGCGCGATAACGGAGGGGCAGGGGTGTCCCGAGGTGCCGCGAGGTGCATGGCACAGACGAGCAGATGAGAGAGCGGGGAGGACTCCGCAAGCTGATGAGTGTGCTCTGTGGGGGGGGGCCCTTGCCCGACGGTGTGAACTCTGGCGAGGTTGTCCGAGGCCATGCGAGGTGCCCAAAGACTCCAGAGGGGCAACCGACATGAGCCCTCCTCCTGCGGCTTGGGATTTCGGCCATCTTAGACGTCCCTTTGAGGCACCCTTGGCCCGCCTTGGGAGCGTGGGGGGGAAAAGAAGAGCCCGAACCCAACGAGGCACCCATGATTTAAGAAACAACTCCTGAAAGGTCTTCATGAGAACACTTAGGGGCAACTAGGCCAAATGGAAAAATCAATAAGCCGGATCTGGCTGGATTAAGCCCGAGATTAAGCAAGATCGAGCTGGATCAAGCCGGGATATACCAGATTCGGCAGGACTGGCCATACATACACAAGCGCCGATGTTGAATTTAACCTCCCAGGAGCTGCATCCTAACAAGATGGCCCAAGCCTGCTTTTCTCCCATCCCTCCTTTTCCCTCGTCCCTCTCCTTCCTCGAGGGTGGACGCAGGCGCTGAAAAACCGTCACGCGTGGGTCCCAGCCCTTCCGCGAGGCTCTGCGCGTCCGTCAAGATCCTCACGCGGGCCCGGAACGTTCGCTGAACCATCTGCTCCTTGGAGGGGGGGAACAATGACGATGTGGACGAGGGAGGAGGAGGAGGAGAAGGCGGAGGAGGAGGAGGAGGAGGAGGAGGACGAAGAGGATCAGCAGGAACAACAGAAGGAGGTAGGAGGAGGAAGGAGAAGGGCACCCGCAAGGCCTGGTGTAAACTCCGAAGGGCCCGCGGCCTCTGTTGGGCTCTCGACAGGTGCAAAAGCAAGCCCATGGCCAAGGTAACCCTGCACGCCGCCCGATGCGCCGCCCGGGGCCTGTATATCACGCAGTAGCGAACATCCCCGTGCTATACCACGTGATATGTGTATGTAAATCAGAGTGAGGGGGCTGAACCTAACGGTCATTCACTGTCCCTTGGTGCGTGACTGCAGTGGAATTCCGCGATGCGGAGTCTCGTAGTTGTTGTTTGTTGTTGTTGCTGCTGCTGTTGTTGTGTTGTTGGTTTGTTTGGTTGTTTGTTTGTGTGCTTGTTTGTTGGTTTGTTTGTGTGTTTGTTTGTTTGTGTGTTTGTTGATTGGTTTGTTTGTTTGTGTGCTTGTTGTTGTTGTTGTTGGTATTGTTGTTGTTGTTGTTGAACATTATTTCTTCTTAAGAATAATTATTGTTGGGGCCCCTGGTGCACGACCCCCCCGCCGCGCCTAGGCTGCAGCCTCATTTTCATCATTTTCGTGAGGAAGTCTCAGGCAAAACGGGGGAGTCCGGATCCGGTTGTGTTGTTACGATCGGTTTTCCCTTGCAAAAAAATAAGCTAAAGTGACATTTCTTGTTCTAACATAACCAAACTTCAAGAATCCCTTGCAAAAAATAAGGTAAAGTGGACATTCGCGCGCGCAAGACGAAATCCTTCCAAAACCTTAGTTTTCGTAGCGATTTTAACATAAAAACATCAAAAAACCAATGGTTTTTCAAAACAAAAATGTCAAACTTTCATCCCGCGCGCTCTTGCGGATTTGTAGGAAACCCAACACTTTTTAAACATTTCTGTCAAACGGGCTTTTGCGAGCAACTTTTTCGAACTTCTGCAACAACGGTTGCGCACCTGCCAGGGCCATCATCCCTGTCAAATAATACCATGCGGGACACATTCGTTTTTTCTTCGCGCGCGCACGCCGTCGTCGTCGGCCGCGGGGCCCTGAATAGTAGCCACGGTCGTCCGCATGCCACGAAGTGAAGTGTCCGAACGTCATAGGGCGGGAAGCTGGGTGTGGGTGGTGGCGAAGAGTCGTTTGGAAATTTGGTAGAGCTTGAACCGGCCCCCCCACAAAGTGGGGGTATTGCCCGCCTCCTATGAAAACCCTGGCACTGGTGAGAACGGTGTGTCCCCACGTGCTAGTAATTGTTGTTGTTGTTGTTGTTGTTGTTGTTGTTGTTGTTGTTGTTGTTGGTTGTTGGTTGTTGTTGATGTCTGTTTGTTGTGTGTTGATTGTTGTTGTCGTCGTCCCACCCGCGACTCGCTCCGCGACCCACCCGCGACCCCCCCCGCGACCCCCCCCGCGACCCCCCCCGCGACCCCCCCCGCGACCCACCCCGCGACCCACCCCGCGACCCACCCGCGACACCTCGAGACCCCCCCGGCGACCAACCCGCGACCCACCGGCGACCCACCCGCGACCCACCCGCGACCCACCCCACGACCCACCCCCGACCCAAGCCGCGACCCACCTGCGACCCATCGCGACCCACCCGCGACCCACCAAAAATTTTCGGCGCTTGCGGCGGGTTTCTTTTGCATCCGTTCCAAATGGAGAACCTGCGACCCACCCGCGACCCAAACCGCGCCCGCGACCCACCCGCGACCCACCGCGACCCAACCGCGACCCACCCACGACCCACCCCGCGACCCACCCAAAATTTTCGGCGCCTGCGGCGGGTTTCTTTTGCATTCGTTCCAAATGGAGAAGCTGCGACACACCCGCGACCCAAACCGCGCCCGCGACCCACCCGCGACCCACCGCGACCCACCCGCGACCCACCCGCGACCCACCCCGCGACCCACCCAAAATTTTCGGCGCCTGCGGCGGGCTTCTTTTGCATTCGTTCCAGGTGGAGGACCTGCGACCCACCCGCGTTCAGTGTACAAATCAAGATGTTCGGCGCCTGCGGCGGGCTGTTTGTGAATTTCTTCCAGGTGGAGGTGGAGAGCCCGCGAACCACCCGCGACTCAAACTACGTTCACCGAACAAGCCAAAACTTCGGAGCCTACGGCGGGCTTATTTTGCATTCGTTCCAGGTGGAGAACCTGCGACCCACCCGCGACCCTAACCGCGTTCAGTGTACAAATCAAAAGTTTCGGCGCCTGCGGCGGGCTGTTTGTGAATTCCTTCCAGGTGGAGGTAGAGAGCCCGCGACCCACCCGCGACCCAAACTACGTTTACTGAACAAGCCGAAAGTTCGGCGCCTGCGGCGGGCTGTTTTTACATTCGTTCCGCGCTGAACTTGTCAGAGCACGCAAAAAAAAGCCTACGGCGGGCTTGCTCGCATTGGTTTGGGAAAGCGCCATCGTGCCCTTCCCCCGATCCGGCCCACGTTGACTCTACAACAGCACATCGGCGCCTGCGGCGGGGCTGTGTCTGAACACGTTCATTGACAATCCAGCTGCCTGCTGCAATTCGGCATCCGTGCCCAAAGCTTGGGCTCAGGGGAAGCTGCCTCAAGGCGCCCACAATTAAGGGGCCTCGGGGCGCTCAAGGACCCTCCTGAGAGCCACGAGGTCCGCCGACTCGACGCCCGCGTCGCCCGCGCCCGCCCCCTCACTCTTATCCGCAATTGCGGGGTGCTACGTATACGTAGATGTACAAAATGTCGTGTTACACAGCTGACAAGAGCTGCCAGGTCGTGCCACCCTCCAAAACGTACAGCAAGAAACAACTGGCTCGGTCGAGGCAAGCGTTCCGGCCGTACAGAAGCTTGCGGGTCCACGGCCACGACCTGAGCAGGCACACAGCACTTCGGCAGCGGACCCAGGCAAGATACACGCAGGTGAAGCGAATGTGGGGCGCGCGCACGCGAACTTGCGCCTCCCTGGGGTGTAAGGAAGAGGTGTGGACGAGGAGGAAACGACGAGGATGGCGAGGACAAGGAGGAGGAGGAGGAGGAGGACGAGGATCACTGATCAGGATCAGCGAGAGACCGCCGATCGGCAATGGAGCAATCATGATATCCTCCTCCTCCTCCTCCTACTCCTCCTCCTCCTCCTCCTCATCATCCTGGCGTCGCGAGCGACAGCGTCTGCCGATCACGATCCCCGGCCCACTCTCGGCGGCCACGCGCCAGGACGGCAAGAGGGGGCGCGGCGGCGTCTGGCCGCCTGCCAGCCTCGAGGGTGCGCGGCGTGGGCCCACCGCTAAACGAGGAAGACGATGACGAGGAGGAGCAGGACGAAGCGGACTTCCATCGCATCCTCCTCCTCCTCCTACTCCTCCTGATCCTCCTCCTTCACCTCTTCCTCTTCATCTAGGTCCTGAAGGTCCTTGGCGCACCACGTCCCGCTGCTGCAACACGCGGCACAAAAATGGGAAAGGAAATTCGAACGGCACACTGACAGGGATCACACTCGCATGAAAGGGAAAGATCTGTAGATTTTCTGGCCAAATGATGGGTCGATCCCACCTTTGAGGAGACTCAGCGAGTGGCTCGCAGCCTTGTTCCTACGCCCATTGCCACACGGGTTAGCGAAGAGGAACACCTTGGGCCTAATATTGGCCCCGATCAGGATCGGAGTGGGCGTAGAGCTTGCGCCTCCCGAGAGGAGGACGATCACGAGGAGGACGCCGACGAGGAGGACGTCGACGAGGAGGCCGAGGACCAGGAGAGATCAATAAGTTCAGGACGGATGGAGCGTCCTGCCACCCGCCGGCCTCGAGGATGCGCAGGGTCCCCCACCACTGCATGTACTTGGCGTCTTTGTTCAGCCTGCCCGTCATCCTCAAGCTGTTTCTCCGTTTCCGCCTCCTTCCGTACTTCGCCTTGTTCTCCTCCTTGTTTTCCTGATAGTTCTCCTCCTCCTCCTCCTCCTCCTCAGCATCCTCGGCATCATCATCGGCCCCATCTTTGTAATCCTGCCTCTTCTCCATCACGGGTCTATGGTCTATATCTTCCCTAGCCTTGCCAAAACCATGTTCAGGAACGGCTTCTGCCTACATCCTGTGTCAGACACCTTACATTCACATCAGCCTGCCGTTTCACTGTGACAATGCCTGTCCTTTGCCGACCTCTGTCTGCATGTAGCTTTCTCCCCCTCCCGTCTCTCTCTCTCTCTCTCTCTCTCTCTCCCCCCCTCTCTCTCTTTCTCTCTCGCTCTCCCCATATCTCTCGCTACATCTATATATACATATATATATAAATATATGTATATGCATGCCTCTCTCTCGCTCTCTCGCTGCTCGCTCCCTCATTGTTGTGTTTCTCTCTCTCTCTCTCGTTCTCCCTCCCTCCCTCCCGTTCTGTGCACATGTACAGACCTATGAAATATTATACCATAGCTTGCACCGAAGGCGTTCAAAATAATATTGAAAGGCTAAGCGAAGGTTCCCGGCCCCCTGAGTTTGCAAAGACGTGGCGAAATACCTGGCCGATTTCGTTGGGCAGCCATGTTCCTAATTCTCTGTGCTCCTGGTTCCCGATACCTTGTGCTCTTGGCTGTGGCGAAATATCTCGATCCTTGCGAGTACGGGCAGATTTGAGACTAGGGAATGGCGAGTATAACACACATGTTCCAACCATTATGTTTTACTTAAGGGTTCTTACTTCCCCAGAGTTTTACTTGAGGGTTCTTACTTCCCCAGAAAAGTGGGCCCGTCTGCCGGTCTGGCAATTCTGTTGTCGCCGTCGACGTCCCGTCACCGCCTCGTCGCCGCCCAGATTGCACAACACAGGTTGAACAACATAGACTGCACCACATGATTGTATAGATGAATATATACATGCATATTGCAACACGTGGGTTGCACCACATAAACTGCACCACGTAGGTGCACAACCTATATTGCTCCACGCAGACTGCACCACTCAAGTTGCACACTACATGCTGCGCACCACATAGGTTACATCACATATGTGGCAGAACCTAGATTGCACAACATAGAGTGTACCACGCCGGTTGAACCACATATACTGCGCATCATATATTGCTCGAAAGATTATGCACAACATATATTGCGCAAGTAGATTACACAACACACATTGCATCACGTTGCTTGCATCACACATGTTGCCCCACATAGACTGCACAGCATGGACAACTAGAAACACCCTGTTTAGGGGTCCTGTCCATTGCTGTGAATCCTGTCTCCCCATATGTATAGATGTATACATCTATAATATATATATATATATACATGTTGCCGTGGATCGCTACTGTACGCTAGCGCAGAGCGCGGCTGCCAAGGACTCGCGAGCACCGTGGACGCCGACCCTCACGGAGCCGAGAGTCGGACGCCCATGGTCCCCCGGCTGACCACGCTCCGCTACCAACTGTAGCAACAGAGATGGGCACAGCTGTTTTGCCTCGAACCAAACGCAGGACCAAGTATACGTCTCTGCACACAACGGATGCCGATCAAACATTCCCTGGATCGGTCCTTCAACGCTAAACCTGATGTCAAAATTCTGGAAGTCTGCCTCAAGGTGCGGGTTCTCTCCACTCGGGAGCCCCCGAACGGAATGGATCCCCCCCTTAGAAATCGTGGGGGTGGGGGTAGGATTCACATGTGGCCACCGAATAATGGCAAGTCCGCTCAAAATCTGTCACTGGACCCCTCCCAAGGTCCATCTGGTGCATGTGTTCTAAACCCGGATCCGATTCGGTACCTGGGCCCGAAACGGTTCCCGGAGGCCGAAAGAACCGGGGCTGGGGGGAAACAACGCCCCCCCATAAATCCCCGAACCCAGAACATCGGATCTCGCCTCCCCCCTTCCTGATCTCCAGAATCAGTGCTGAGCCACCTCAGACCCCCAGCTGGCTCTAAGCTGTGCAAGCTATTGTAGTTGACATCTCCTGGGGCGACGAGATCTGTCTATTTCCCTAGGCGCCGCTCCTTGGACCAGGATGGGCCTGGCCAGCGGTCGTGGATGTGGCGGACTCTGGAAGCCCTGAAACCAAAACGGTTGCCATCTCCTGGGGGCGCATCTTTTACTGCCGCCGCCTTCAGTCGGCCTTCCACCGCCTTCCGCCGAGGCAGAGATACCAACTCCTTCGATCCTCGAAGGCGAGGCCCATGCGGGAATGCCTCCTGTACGGATCCCGTCGCCCGACAGGCCATCCGATTCCCCGCCTGCTCCCCCAGACGATCGACTCGGCCCCCTCTTCGAAGGGGCGCCTCCGCCTCGCCTCCGCCTCCTCTAGGCCGAGCGCCGCCTGCAGGTCCTTCGCGCTGCGGTCCTAGCTTCCCCAACCTTTGCTCTGCTGGGCGGGAGGGCGAATGGGGAGGTGAGGGGAGGAGGGTCGTCCTCTTCCTCCTCTTTCTCCTCCGCCTCTTCCTCCTCCTCCTCCTTCTCCACCCTGAGGCCAGTTTTTAGGGTGGTCCGGGCGTTTCGCCAGAGACTACCTCACCATTCATGACTCTGAAGCTTAAACGTTGCAACAATTTCACAGATGGAGGGCGGGTGGCTTTCAAAATGTGGCTCTCGCCATAGCGCGGCGCACATCTGTTTAAACATAATTGCAAGAGTTTCACGGATTGAAGGCGGTCAATGCGGTGCATATCCTCTTAAACAAATTGCAAGAGCTTCACGGATTGACGGCAGGCCGATTTTAAAATGCGGTTCTCGCCTTAGCGCGGCGCGCACTCGCTTTACACATGTGCAAGAGCTTCACGGATTGAGGGCGGTCATGTTCCAAAATGTGGCTCTCGCCTGATAGCCGCGCACATTTGTTTACACAATTTGCGAACATGTCTTGGATTCCCATCATCAACGTACCACAATGTTCGAAAGGATTCTGGATTATAAAATGTTGAAGTCCCAGGAATAGCGTTCTAACACGATTCAGGATCGTCAAGACGCAGCAGTCAGGTTCATCCGTGGGGTTGGAATCCCGAACAACATGGTTTGGCATGCTTTAGGGTCTTCAAACGGTTGTCTTCGAGAGAGGCAGCTTCCTCAATGGACATTAACCGTTGTAGGAGCCTATGAAGAGGGAGCTTGGAGGGAGGGCTTATTCCCAAATAATTGATGACTCTTGGGTATCCACTGATCCTCGTCCTCCTCCTCCTCCTCCTCCTCCTCCAACCCTGCACCCAACCCACCCCGTCCCTTCTCTCCAACCTCTGCCCGCCACCCTCCTCCTCCTCCTCCTCCTGCTCCTTCCTCCTCCTCCTCCGCCTCCTTTCGTTTCCTTATACATGATTTCCCGCTGTCGCACCCCGGGGCCAATCTTTAGGGCGGGCCGGGCGTTTCGCCTAAGACTTCCTCACGGCTTGTGGTTCTGAAGCTGAAACATTGACAACAACTTCACAGATGGAGGGCGGGTGGTGCTCAAAATGTGGCTCTCGCCTCAGCGCGGTGCACATTCGTCTTAAAACATTGCAAGGGCTTCACAGATGGAGGGCGGGTGGTTTTCAACATGTGGCTCTCGCTTTAGCGCCGCGCACATTTGTTTGAAAAGCATTGCAAGAGTTTCACGGACTGATGGCGGGTGGTTTTTTAAATGTGGCTCTCGCTCCAGCGCCGCGCACATTCGTTTGAACAAATGGTAAGATGTTCACATGTTGGGGGCGAGTCGTTTTCAAAACGTGGCTCTCGCTTCAACGCCGCGCATACTCCTTTGAACAAAACTGCAAGAGCGTAACGGATTGAGGGAGGTTCCTTTTCAAACTCTGGTTCTCGCTTTAGCGTCGGTGCGCAATATGCAAGGGTTCCACGGCTTCCCATCATCAGCGTACCAGAAATTGCGTTTTGGAAGGATTCAGGATTATGCGGGTGCAACAAACAAGTTGATTATCTGTGTTGAAGTCCTGGGAATGGCGTTCTGGCATGATTCAGGACCGTCAAGACGCAGCAGTCAGGTTCATCCGTGGCGCTGGAATCCCGAACAACATGGTTTGGCATGCTTTAGGGTCTTCAAACGGGTGTCTTTCAACCAGGCAGCTCCATCAACGGAACTGAACCGTTGTAGGGGCCTACGAAGAGGGATCTTGAAGGGCGGGTTTACTTTAACATCGTTGATGACTCGTGGGCTTACACGGGTCTTCCTCCTCCTCCTCCTCTTCCGCGGGGGGGAAGGGGGAGGGTAGGGCGACGAGATCTATAAGTACCCACCGCCCCTGTCAGGGCCCATCCTAGGCCCACGAGCGGTTTACATGCTCCTCTGGCTTAGCCAGGGGGCCGATCCTGGTGGTGGATATGCATAGATCTCGTCCCCCGAGAGGAGGAGGCCAGGGCGGAGGGGGCTAAGGATGAGGGAGGTCTCACGTGCAGCGAACGTGTCTATATCCACGCTCTCGCGGTCTGGACTACGGGGCGAGATCCCGCGGACACGCGGTCGCACGGGCACGTCCAGCGCGGGGGAGCGGGAAACAACGCGCATCCGCGGCCCAGGCGCCTGGCCCGCGAGGCCGCGGATGTGCGGATACGTCTTCCGCCCGCGAAGAACCCGAAGCGCTCTGGCGAAGGGAAGGTACACAGGGAAAAAACCCGGCCGAGCTGGGCAGGTAAGATCTCTTCCTCTGCCCCCGCCCCTCCTTCTCGAACTGGTCCTCCACTGCCTCCCCCTCCCTGGGCCCTTCCTGCTCCCTCTCCCGCTCCATCTCCCCTCTCTCTCGTCCTTCCCCCCCTCCCCTCCTACGGTCATCGTGCACTGGAGATGGAAAACGAAGGGCCTCTTCCGGCCACGGAGAACTTCGGCCACGAAGAGGCGCCCTGGCCCACATCTGAGGAACCGCCCGAGCACAGGAGCCCTGCCTGAGTCCGAAGGGGTCCCTGGTTCAGCGCTTTCGCTGTCCCCCCCTCCCCGCATGGGCGCGGGAGCGCCAGCGCGCGGAGCGGGAGGGCCTCGGGGACCCTCCCTCGTCGCCCGCGGCGGCCAAAGGCCCGACCGCGCGAGCGCCCGTGACACTGGTCGGCAGGCTCGGCCCTGCACCAGGGAGGCGAGCGAGGCTGGCCTGAGCCACGCGTCCCCCCTCAACTCCTCGGAGGTCTGCGGACCCGGGTCAATGCAAACCCGGGTCAGTCGGGCCCTGCAGGATAATGCACCCAGACCGGGGTCCACGCGACCCTGGCCCTGCAGGATCCTGCAAGATCCAGCGCTCTGGCGGACCCCCGTCTGCATCGACCCCCGTCTCTTGAGCCCCGAACTCCTCCGAAGGGCCGGTGTCTGGGGGGACCGGCTCGCGGCGGCGATCCGAGCGGCCGGCGGCTCGAGGCTTCGGGCGCGTTCGTTGGTCTTCGGCGGCTTTTCAGCTTCGGGATGCAGCGGCTGCGCCTCGCCGAGGGGCGTGCGGGGCTGCCCGGATCGTCCCGAGCGGCCGCCAGAGACCCAGGGTATGACCCGAAAACAGCATGGGTAGCAGCTCAGGGAGGGAAAGCATCGAGCTGTGATCGACCTCGCTACATCGCCGATAGATCGGCGGTAGACCCCCGATTTCGAAGCCGCACGTTCATGGGAAAAGTGCACTGTCGTGCCCCAGTCGGCGATCCGTACGGCCAATGCATATAAGAATAGTGCACGGTAAGGATGCCTGTGCCGTGGAAAGCCATGTCGATACTTTTGAAGCGGGGCGCGGCCAGCGAAAGTGGATAAGGATGGGCCGAAGGGGAAGGAGGCGAGGGTAACTTAGTGCTGCCGAGATTAATGCCACAGGGATAATAAAGTTCGGGGTTGCTGGGGGATTATAAATGTTGCCTACCGGAGGCCAGCATGTGGCAAGAGGTGATGTTAAGAGGGCCGAAAGCCGAGGATCGAGGATCGAAGTCCGAGGATCGAGGATCGAGATCCCAGAGTCGAGGATCGAGGTCCGAGGATGGACGGCGGCGAGGTCCGAGGATCGAGGATCGAGGTCCGAGGGTCGAAAATCGAAGATCGAGGTCCAGGGTGCCAGGGGGAGAAGGAGGAAGACAGAGAGAGACAGAGACAGAAATACACATATAGTTAGAGAGAGAGAGAGAGAAGTAGAGAAATATAGACAGACAGGAGGAGAGAGGAAGGAGGAGGAGGAGGAGGAGGAGGAGGAGGAGGAGAAAAGCCAAAGTTCCAAACCTATTACATTTAATTTATAAACGAACAATGGAAATTAAGATTTTCATCTGCTCGTGTAGGGTAGCTCACGTGCCTCGGTTTTCGTGGATAGTAATCCACAGCGATAAAAAAGTTCAGGGTGCCAGGGGGAGAAGGAGGAAGACAAAGAGAGAGACAAAGACAGAAATATACAGGTAGTTCGACAGAGAGAGAGAGAGAAGTAGAGAAAGATAGACAGACAGAAGGAGAGAGAGAGAGAGAGAGAGGAGGAGGAGGAGGAGGAGGAGGAGGAGGAGGAGGAGGAGGAGGAGGAGGATGAGAAAAGCCAAAGTTCCAAACCTATTAACTTTAAAGTGTAAACAAACAATGGACAGTAAGATGTTCATCTGCTCGTGTAGGGTGCCTCATGTGCCTCGGTTTCCGTGGATAGTAAGCCACAGCGATAAAAAAGTTCAGGGGGCCAGGGGGAGAAGGAGAAAGACAGGGAGAGAGAGAGAGAGAGAGAGAGAGACAGAGGCACATACATATATACATATATATATATAGAGAGAGCGACAAAAAAGCGAGATATGAGGAGGAGGAGGAGGAGGAGAAGAAGGAGAAGTGTCTCATCGACAAGTCTCTCGCTTCGCTTGAGACATCCTCGAAGAATTGCTGGTTCCGCTTGAGGCATCCTTGAACATTGTTCGTTTCGCTTGAGGCTGCCTCCAAAAATTGTTGGCTTCGCTTGAGACGTCCTCGAAAACGTCTTCGCTTCGCTTGATGTTGCCATCTCAACATAAGACGTAAGTTAACCTCGATAGTGAACGTTTCACAGTGATAAAGAAGTTCGGCCTCCGCGCCCCGCGCCCCTGACCAAACTCTTATTGGCCGTGGATAATGAACTCTAGCGTGTTAAGGGGGGGGTCCTATTTTATCAGTGGCAAGCGGTTAACCTTGGAACATCGCTTACCCTTCGCATCCGTGTTGACTGTAAGCGATTGGAGGTCGATGGTGCATCCTCCCCTGAGTTCATCTTCCCCCTACTCCTCTCCCTCCGACTCCCTCCCTCGAGCGAGGCCTTGGACCAGTGGCCGAGGCGCCTCTGGTGGAGCGACGCCTACTCGAGCGTGCTGCCCCCCACTCCTCCTTCACCCTTCCTGTGCACAGTACCCTCCACAGGCGGCCAGGATGAGGGACGGAGAAGAGGGGGGGAAAGAGGAGGGACGGAGAAGAGGAGGGGAGGAGAAGAGGAGAAATAGATACGATGCAGCAATACCCTCCACAGGCTGGCAGGACGAGGGGGAACAAGCAGGGAGAGAGAAGGGGAGGGTGGGAGAAGAGGAGGAGGTATGGTGCAGCAATATCCGCCACAGGCGGGCAACATGGGGGAGGAAAGAGGAGGGAAGTATAAGAGGAGAGGATGAGGAGAGGAGGAGGAGGCATGATGCAGCATAGAGATTTGCGTGGTGCGTGTACGATACCAGACCTGCATCAAACAGAGATGGCCCGCCCCGCCAGGGCGAGCAGCGAGCGGAGAGCATGCTGCGGGCAAAATTCATGTCCACGTCCACTGCGTCTTGGACTTTCTGGGATGGGGCGCCGATGGCCGAGGCGTAGTGGAGAATTATGAAAAGACATGTAATATCTAGGGATCACTCTTATCTATATCCGCTGCGTCTTGGGTGGCCAGGGAAAGGGAGTTTGAAACTTTAAGAAATAGTGGGTATGCATCTCGTCCGCAAATGCCAGCCCGTCGAGAGACGGCATCCGGCGATGGACGGCGACAGTCTGCTAGACAACTGTGGGCCCTGCGACGCCCAAGGATCGGGGGCCAAGTGGAGCAGTCGGCCGCTGGAGCACCGAGCTTTGCAGTGCAAACTGGAGGAGGAGCCAGGAGTGCTCAGATGGCCAGGAGTCAATTCCAAGAAAGGGGCGGATGCCGACTCGCCAGCGAGAGGCGCGACCCTCGGTGGGGCCGCCCGACTGGTTGGACGAAAGTCTGAGTGAGTTTGCCAAAAAACTGGTCTCCCGACGGAGGACACGGCTAACACTCCTTCAAGAGGTTCTGATTGCTACGGCTGGCGTGTGCCCCGCAACTTACACGTAGAACAGCTAGTCGTCCAGAAACGGCACACGCATAAACTGTCGGGGCCCCGCGCGGAGTTATTGGATCAGCGCTGGGCCCCCTAGCGCCGCCACTGGCGCGCTCCGCGCGCCAAGGCGGGGGGGTCTAGGGCCGATCCAAAAAGTTCGCGCGGGGCTCCGAAAGTTGTTACTTGTGCCCTGTGCATGTATCATTGAGCCACATGGAGTGTGTACGCTGGGCAAGGCACGCTTCATCACACACAAACCTCAGCAGAATTGCTACCGCTTTCGAGGAACAGGAGGACGAGGATACAGTCGGGAATATTTTTTGCTTAGCGTGTCGCAGCCACGGTCCTGGCGACACGCTATGCCTTGCAAGCGGATTACGTGTCGCTCCGCTCCGCGAGGCAATAGCTTGGGGAAAACTCGGGACGTTCACGCCTCGGGACCAGGACGTGGATAACGTGTAACTGTGGACGCCCAAAATGGGTACGGAAGAAAGGGTACGATGGCCAACAACTAATGCTGCCCAAAACAGGCAGAGACCACTGTTGGACGGGCGGCCTTCTAACTCAAGTGGACAAGACCTGCGGCGGCACCGACAGGGGATTCCATCCAAAATGGGAAGGGATTGCTGTCGGTCTCTGTGCCCATTTTTTGTCCGTGCCCAGTTCGATCGTCCCGCGCCACGCCGAAGCGTGGCGGGCCAAAACCAACGGAACGACACGCCATCCAACAGTTCCCGGCCGAAGGCCCCCACCCGCGGCCCGGCCCTCTCCATGTGCGCCACGTCGTCGGGCGCCCGGGGATGCCTGTCTGCGGCGCGCCCCCTCTCGGAGGTCTGCGTGGAGCTCTCGAATCGGCACTGGAGCGCGGCGCTCGAAGATTGACAGAACGCCCTTCTTGGCAAAACGCCCTTTATTGACAACTGCCAGGTGGACCCCACACGCGCATGGCACCGCACCGCCGTAAGAGTGGACACCAGCGGAGCAGTTAATCGACGAAACGCACGCCTATTAGCGAAACCGACGGGGGACTGCACGGGCACACTCGAATGCCAATGTCGAGTTAAACTTTGCAGATGAATCTTTTCGTCGTCAACTGTCTTTCCCTGGCCACAGGGCTGCACCCAACTGGTAAAACATACTGCTTTCCTGAATCGACTTGTTTGGGTGTGCGTTCCCTCCATGCGCGAAGAGCGCGCTGGCTGTCCAGCGCCGATCCAAGAAAACCGCGCGGAGCTCCGACTGTTCATGTTTTTTTTTTGTTGGAGAGAAGGGAGGGCAGGGAGCAGGAGAGACGCGAACAGCGAATGGACAACTCACCACTTGTCACGTCGTCTGGTGTCGGTGCACTGCCAGGGCTGCGAGACAGGCAAGCACACAGCGCCCGGAAGCTGTCCAGCGAACGTGGCCGAAACTCGGGCCACCGATGCGGGGGAGAGGTGGCGGACAAGGAGGAGGAAGGAGGGGAAAACACAGACGAAGACATTGCCTTGGCACAGGGCCCGAGAAACAAGCAAGTCGCCAACCCGAGCGACAACATTCGGTATCGCACAGACTGGCGTCGACAAAATGCTGAAGTTGTATACGGCGCGCTGACCGCGGAGGTCATCGCCCGACTGCTCGTCAGGTTGGGCACCCACATGGCCACTGCAGTCCAAACGCAAACGATTCGGTAACACAGCTTCGACTCCAGGGAGGCGGAGGGGAAGAAGGCGGAGGAGGAGGAAGAAGAGGAGGGGGAATTGAAGCCAAGACGCACGCTCCGTGCATTACAACGCAAACGGGGCAATTCGATGCCTAAGCACGCCGCAAAGCAGCCAGGCGGGCCCAAGGTGCGAGGCACACTGCAAACTTTAGCAGGCTGGGGCGACCCATGCGCCCACAGGGCCCTTACAGCCCCCCCCCCCGAGAAACGCGCAACCGAACGCAATGGATTCAGGCGTCCAGGAGGAGGGGGAGAGAGGATGCTCCTGACGAGGTTCCTCCCCAGCCGCGATGGCTGTCTACGCCCGCGGCGCTTGCCCCTCCCCCAGGTATGCCCCCATTCTCAAGGGGTTCCCATCCAGGGCATGGGGCGTCCGCGCTCAGGCGCTCGTCTCGGCGCCTGCCCGCGCGATCGCAGCTCTGAAGCTGGTCGCGGCAGGCTTTCTCTTCTCACGCTTCTCTGTTCTCGAGGCCGTTCTTGGACTCTCGCGTCTTTCTCGCGCGCCCTGCTCTCATCTCTGTAGCTGATGATGTCGGACGCAATCTTCGCCCCCCCCCCCCCCTTCCACCCCCTTTTGTTTGCACTTCTCGCCATGCGTCTGGCCTCCTCGAGGATCTCCTCGAGGATTTCCTCGTCGTGGCTGTCGACGTCGGGCTTCGGCTTCGCCTCGCCCCCCTTGCCCGCGCTGCCACATGCTCGGGCCTAGCCACTTGCGGAAGATTTCGGCTGGCGCCCGCCACGTCGCCATGCTCGTGCACCTTGGCTCTTCCGTCTCGAGCTTCGCCTTCTCCTCCTCGCGCGCCCGGACTGCGGCGCTGTAGCAGATCGCGTCGGGTTCCGCCTTTGCTTCCGCCTTCGCGCGCTCGCTGTTCTCAGAGCTGCGGGTCGGGGTGTCGGGCTCCAGCTTCGCCTCCTTCTTCTCGCAAGCGCTGGCCCCCGCGCTGGAGCTGGCGATGCCGGGTTCCAACTTCGCCCCCCGCTTCTCGCACGCGGGCATCTCGCTTCTCTCACTTGCTGCGCTGTAGCTGGTCACCCATGGCTCATTCTTCGCCCCCGCATCCGAGCCGCGTTCCGTTGTCTTAGATCCCGCCGTGGCGACGAGGGGAGTCGAAGGGGAAACGTTGGTGATATTGGGCTCCAGCTTTGTCTCCGCCACTGTTGCCCTGATCGCGGCGTTGTAGCTGATCGCGTCGGGCTCCGTCTTCGCCTCTGACTCCTCGCGCTAACCGTTCACAGGGCCAGGGCTGGGCATGTCGGGATCGAACTTCACCGTTCCCTCTTCGCGCGCCTGAATATTTTCGCTCTAGCTGGTCACGCTGGGCTCTAAGTTCGCCCCCCGCTTCTCACGCTGGCACTTTGCGCTGCATCTGGTCACGCTGGGCTCTGGCTTCGCCTTCGCCCCAAGCTCCTCGCATATCGCGGGCCCGACCTCGGCGCTGTAGCTGGTCACGTTTGGCTTCGTATTCGCCTCCGTAACTGAGCTACATTCCGCTTGCTCTGGCCCAGCCGTGGCAGCGAAAAGCAAGGGGATAATGTTAGTGGCATTGGGCTCTAGTTTAGCCTCCGCCCCTGTTGCCCTGATCGCCGCGTCGTGGCAGATCGCGTCGGGCCCCAGCTTCGCTTCCGACTTCTCGCGTTCACTGTTCACAGATCCGTAGCATGGCATGTCTGGCTCCAACTTCGCTGTTCCCTCCCCGCTCGCCCCGACCGCTTCGCTGTAGCTGATCGTGTTGGGCTCCCCCAGTGCCTCCCACGTTTCGCGCCCCCTCCGCTGCTCGTCTGCTCGGGGCTTCCACGGCTTCTCCTCGTAAGCCCCTACCCGCGGGATGCCCCGCCAGCTCCAGCAGGCGTCCATCTCGGCCTGGCGGCGGGTTGCCAGGCGAAGTCTCCGGTCCGCGCGGCGCCGATTGCGGCTCGCGGCCGCGAGAGGCCTCGCCCCGTCGATGGGGCCCGCTCCACGGCGGCGCAGCGCGCAGCATCATGGCCGCGCAGAGGGCTCGGGTCGGCGGGCAGACGGCCGCCGCGCTGCCGGGCCGCCAAGGAGGGGAAAGAGGAGGAGTAGGAGGAGGAGGAGGAGGGGGAGGAGGAGGAGGGAAGAGAAACAACAACAACAAAAACATCCTGAGCGACGCCGCACGCAAGAAGCAAAAAATCCAAAAGCAGACAACCGGCACCGTTCACTCGGGCGCTGGCGGCTCAGTGCCACGACGCCCCTCGCGCACGAACTCCTCGAATGCGTCGTCGATGTCTCCAATGTCCGCGCGGCCACGTCGACGGGCATCGTGCAACCGGCACAGACTATAAATGCCGTGGGCCCACTGGTGCGTGGCCTCGTCGCTCGTCCGCGGACCCCCCAGGTTGAGGATTCAGCCCAGAGCCATGCCCCTTGCGAGCGACGCCCAGAAGGCGCCGCGCCACCCGGCAGTAGGCCAGGTGCGCGATTGCGTCGTCGCCCGTCTGGCATCCGAAGCGGCAGCGCCCGCAACCGCCGAAGCGCGAACTAGCGCGCCAACCGCTGCACCAAAGGCGGAAAATGGCGGACCGCACTCGGGGCTGGCAGATGCGCCCAATGCGCCGCAGCGCGCTGAGAGCGCATTCGAAGCGAAGCCGCCGGAATAGCTGGATGGCCCAGTGGTCGAGCTTTCTGCGGGGCAAGGCGCGGGCCCAGGCACCAGCCGAGCTCGCTCGCTGCAACTGCAAACGTTGCGCGGCGCGTCGTTGCCATCCCGCCCGCGTGCCCCGGCGCAAATCACTTGGGCTCGCCCGACGAAGTTCGCGAACTTGGCCCGCGTCGTCGGCAAGATGTAGGAGGAAGCTGTTGTTTCGCCAGGCGTGCAACCAACCGGCCCGCCGCAAAGAGACGAACAAGAAACTGCTGGAAAGCCGCCGTGCCGCCCGGGCCCGCGCCTGGATCAGGAGCGAACCTCCAGCCTCGATGTGAACCGCGCGCGCTTTTACGGCCAATGAATGCGGCAGGCAAGTCCGAGGGCGAAGCGGGGGGCCCGGCGCTGACGAGATCCTTCAAGGGGTCTGCCGTGGCCCAATCAAACGGCATAGGAAAAAGCCGACGACGAGCCGAAGCCTCCGCCGCGGCGAGGGTCGGAGGACAGGGCCCCAACTGGCCGACATAGACCAGCGACGAAATGATGCATGCCCCGTGGCCCTTCACGGTCAAAAGCACCCCCGCCACGGCGCCCCCCAACTGGCCGGCGCGGTCGAGATACTTCTGGAAAATAATTGCGCCCAGGGCCCAAGAACACCCCTAGGTGCCTCGCCGCCTCCGCGATGGCCATGCCAGCCCAGCCGGGGGATCGCGCAGCTAACGCGGCACGCGCCCCGTCCGAGTCCAGCGGGCCCGTGGGAACCAACACCGTCGCGACGTTCAGCTTCACCCCCGGAATTAACATAACCTCCTCGAAGAAAACATCCAGGCCGTGCAAATGCTGTGCCGCCGCGGGCAAACCCGCGGCGAGGTCATCCGCGAAAGCTCTCCTGACGGCAGCGGGGAAGTGCCGCGCCATCCTCCTTAGCAGCAAGTCCGAGCACGCAGCGTAGAGCAGAGGGGCCAGGGGGCACCCCTGCCGAATCCCCCACGTCAGGGAGAACCCAGGGAAGCGGGCCCTGGCGAGACCCACCTCGCAATGGTTGTTCCGGTAGAGGGCGGTGGCGAAGGTGAAGAGCCACGGCGGCCATCCCAGGCTGCGAAAGAAGTTCAAGAGCAGGGCGTGCTCTATCGAAGGAAGTGCAGCGGCGAAGTCGAGGAACATGGCCACGCCTCCTTCTCCTTCCGCTGCTGCTTGGAGCATGGCCTCGTCCACGTCGATCGCGTTGCTCAGCATGGGGCTCCCTGGTAGAAATCCGCGCTGCTCGCCGGTGATCAGCTTCTCCAGCGCGGGCTCAATGGGCAGCCGGCATGCGCTGGCCAAAAGCCGGTTGTCTGTATTACAAAAAGATAAGGAGCGCACCCCGCCCGGGTCGAAGAATTCCTCGCCGTCGCTCGTCGCGCCGCTCGCCTTTTTCGGCAGGAAGATGAGGAGGCCCTCGTTGAAATCCGGGGCCACCTCTTCGAGCCAGCCTGAAGCGCCGCCCTCGCAGAGCACCT